GCAGTAGCAGTGGTAGTGGTAGTGGTAGTGGTAGTGGTAGTAATAGTCGTCGTCGTAGCACTCGTGGTGGTGGTGCTGCTGGTGCTGGTGGCCGTAGGAAGTGGTTAGTAGGAGGGGCTAAGTCGCAAGGGTGTCTAACTTAAGCCTCGAGGGCATGCACGGGAGCAGGTGGCTTCACCGCGTCTGTTGCTGTGTACTGTGTACTGCTTTGTAAAAAACCTTCGTAAGTTTCGGTGTCGTAGGTCACGGATCAATCGATGCTGTTGAATCATGCCCGGCTACAACTTTCGTGCGATTGCCGGACGAGCGATAACCTCAGTCCAAGCGGTCTGATCCCCATCAGTGGGAAGCGCCGAAACTGCAAAACGTCGACCATCCGCACGCCGCGTCGAACGGTGATGCTCCAACAGCAGCTTCAAGCCAAAGCTCCCATCGCGAAGACGGAACACTGGGACCTAGAGTTGCATATAAGGAGTGTATGTAAGAATCTGGAGAATCTGAAGACTGGTTGTGTGAGATCGGCCACAGACCCCGGCGGCCCTGAAAGGCTTCGGACCTCCGCATGATCGGGTCGCTCATGCTCAGCATGTCCTGGCTGCGGATGCCGAAGAAGTGCAAAAGCATGCTGCGAGAGTTCTGGCTTGGCCTTGCCTTAGCCATTTGTGCCGCTGCCAGATGTCGCCGGTCGAACAAGCGGCCATTGTATTGAACTTTCCTTGCAAGAGAAAGGAGTGCACTTCATGATCAGACGATTGGGGGCGTGGGCTTGGTGGATGATACGGAAAAGCATTTGCGCTCTTGAACTCTCGGCGGCCGCGCTTTGCCTTACTGTGTTGGAAGCAGCATATGAGATGTACTACTGAAGCGTCTTGCAATCTTAGGAGCGCTGCCAAACGGACTCTGCTTGAATGTACCTATCGGACCCATCGCTACAGTACGTATACGCTGTGACGAGAGAAAGCCATTTGAAAGGCATGCAGAACGAAGAAGGAAACACCGACGAAACACTAGGAGTTGCAGGATGCAAGGAAGTCCTATACAGCAGAGCCCAGCACAAGCCCAGCCCCAACCGATGAGATGAGCTGAGAAACTCTGCGACCGGGACCCCACATTTATCGGTGGCAAGATGAGGTCTCAATCTCTCACCGTATCCATGCTCTCTTACGTGAAAGGAAAACTCCCTGGAGAGTCGAGCAGCTGCGACATGCTGGGCTTGGAGATCCCTTCCCTTCGAGTGCTTTCTTGAACCTTTTTTGCTTGTGTTTTGAGGCTCTGCGTGAGATGAGGCGCACGTGAGGAGCTGGGGGTACTGTTGGGTGGGAGGTCATGTGCCGGGGCTGAGGGCTTCAGCCCGGACCAGTCTCCTTGCAGCCTTCTTTGTTTTCGACTCGAAGCCTTTACTGCGTCAAACTGCGGCTTGAGGCGGCGGACGGACTGGCAAATTCGGCTAATGCGAAACCCACCTAAAGCAGTTGAACACGCGAGCCTACGAAACAACACAAAAAACGTCGGCGGCTCATCCGACATAGGACGGCTACTTGTACCAGTAGCTTTCAAAGGACTCTCCTCGGCATATCCAAGTCTGATGGAGGCTTGGAGTTTTAAGCATGTGCCAAAAACTGAATGGAGGGACGTGGGCATTTCAGGCTCCAAGCTTTTCTGACTGACTAAGGTGCACTGGCACTTGAGAGTGGCGAGGTTCTGGCATGTAGCAGTGACTGTGCCGGCACGAAATAGCTCTCAGAGGCTTTGCTAGGCCACGGGCGTAATGAGATGACATTCTAGCAGTGGAATTACCACAGAGCTCGAAAAGACGGTTTTGAAGAGGGCCTCTGGAACACTTCACAAACCCGAAACCCCCTGGCTGAGCTACATCTCAAAACCTCCGCCTCACATCCTGCATCATATTTGACAGCATGTAACACAAAGACTACTACCCGAGGTACACCTGTCTGAAAGTTTAATCTTGAGATCGTCAGCTCTGATCCACACGTCGCTCCTTTTTCCCATGACGGCATTGGCTCATGGGCGGTGCGCGGCGCAATCAGTTGCCGGGAAGGTCTCGAAAATGCACTCCGCTGGAGAGACAACGACATGGAACTCTTAATTTCTCTGTCCATGCACTGTGCTGTGCAAAGTCGCAACATCACGCCGGAAGTGAAAACCTTACAAACGGAAGCCCTGCATTTTGGGAGTTAAAACTTTAGAGTATGGATAAGGATGCTGTGGTCTTGTCCGGCAACCCAAAACTTCACAAACTCCCGAATCGGAAGCAAGGAGTTTGGCTATCTGAAGATATCTTTGCTGGACACGCACGTCCACGAGTCTCCAAAGCGAAGGCAGCAAGAGCTTTCGGTGCTGCTGAGGCCCTGGACTGAAGCTTGCAATCTTCGAATTCACGACCCTAGGCCAGTCTATCCCTCTTCGAGCGCCGCGGCAAAAAGACCATTTCGTCCATGGGCATCGCATGAAAACGGAATTTTCCTACAGGCTACCAGGCGGCTACCAGGAGCTCAGCCCTGGCAAGCAGTGACCTCAGTATGAATATCTTTATTCGTCTTAGTATTAGTATTACTCCTAGTCTTACTATTATAGTATTAGTATTAGTCGGCAAGTCCAGGTGATGGCTTCGAACCACGCGTGATTGCATCAAATGTCGACTGCGAAACGTCCGTGCTCTTGCCACTGCAGCTACCGCTCGTGCGAGTCTTGGGATCATGACGAAGCTTCTACGACTGTCGCTACTATGCGTGAATCAGCCCTGGAATTGGGGACCTCGGTGCGCTAGGCACTTGGTGAAACCGTGAAGACAATCCGGGGGGTTTGATGTTGTCGATCAGAGCTGTCCAGAAAGCCTTCCTCCACCCAAATTCCACCCTCAAAGCCCTCAGAAAAGAAACCCCTCAAGGTCCCTGGTGCGCCATGGAGCAATGTCCATGAACGTCGGCTTCAGGGAGGCGCCACCTGAGTGTAGAGGCTTCGTGGGACGGCGTGCTTCACTGATGGCTCTGGTCTGGTTATCCGAGGTAGGTTCTGAGAAGCCTTTGCTGGAAATCTGCTTGGAGGTCCACCAGGGTTTTGTACGTTTGAAGTTGCTGAAGGCTGCTCGGACTTTGGACCTTACAGGCGTCTGTCAGGGTGTCAAGCCATATATAAAATGCAAGCTTCTCCGGCCCAAACATGCAATGCCACATCGCCCCCCCCCCCCCCCACCCGATGCATCTCATCCCTAAAGTGGAGCCCCGGGCCAACCAGGAAGCCATCAATGTTGGGCTTGGCCATCAGCTCCTCGACGGTTGACTCAAAAAATGGTTGCGGGTGGGGTGAGCCGGGCGCGGCTGCTTTTGGGGAGTTGGCTTCTTGAGGCTCCTTCGCAGACAGTTCTACTAAACGAGGGTGTAATCGCTTCTAATATAAAAACTGCCGGCTCCCAGAATTTCGCGGTTTCGGGCCCCGCATTCAGTTTAAAAGGGACAACATTAGGGGGGGTGGCAGATCTGTATGTGTTTTAATTGAAGGAAGACTACCGTAGTACTAAAGAGAGCAGAGCTTTAGGGTTTAAGGGTTTAGGGCTCAGGACTGTCTGGTTTGTCTACAGCCGGAACGGCTGCGCAGGAATTGCTCGCTGTTGACTTGTCTGACTGTAATTAATTATTTACTCACGAACTCATATAACTACGTGGATGCCGAGGGCTTAAGCTTTAGGGTTGAGGGCTTCAGGGACTTAATTAAGGCTCAGAGCTTTCGGGCTCTAGCCGTCTGACTGTCTGGCTGCCTCATTATTCCTGTCAGTCCGACTCATACCCGCAGGACCCGAAACCCCCCCTAATATAAAAACTAAACCTCCGAAATCCAGTTTTTATATTAGGGGGAGGGGGGGGGAGCGTTTTAATGTTAGGGGGAAGGGATTATTCGTGTGGAGTGGATGAGAGCGATGCCAAAACACGCAGAAGCACACGAGTGAATTGCTCAGGTGCTGCACTGCGAAAGTCAGGCTGAAGGTCAACATTGCAATTAAGGAGCCTTCAGCACGGGGTCGCAAGAAGCAATGTTGGTCCTTGCAGTTGTCGGGGGTCACGCTTCCACCATACTGGATGCGCACCTGGCCAATTGCGTCGACAAGCAGCCAACAAGTCACACACCAGGTTTAGCATCACGCGAGGCCTGTTTGGCACTTGTTGGAGCCTGGTACGATTCAGACTGCAAAAAGTGCACGACTCTGGACACAACTATAGCGCCCCTAAGGAAGCTGTGATGGGCCGTCCGACTACTCGTCCACCTGGGTGGGAACTACAAGAAGGCGATCGGGAGCCGTCGTTTCAGCGTCCTAGCACCGCACAAGGCTCAAGGCATCCAGCTGCCGCCCTTGAGCGCTCCATGAACCCAAACTGGGGAACCTCAAGATTAGCATGTATTGGTCACATGCATGCAGAAGCCCAGTCATAGTGCTGCAATAAAATGCCACCGTCAATGTCTACGTGCTGCAATATTACCAGGTCGGGCAGTCCACTTAGGAATAACTCGCCACTCGAACCCTGGCTGAATCCTAAAACCTTGTAAACCCTGAGCCGCACGCGGAAATCGGCACTTTCTCTCCCGCAAACCCTGCCCGCGAAGCCAGCGCTGCTCTTGTAGCTGTCACCACTTCGGGATCTGGGGTCCGTCGACAACTCCGGTAACGATTCGTGTGGGCATGTGGACTAGCAAAACAAACGACGTCGGCTGGAGGCCACGACTCCTAGACATCTTGAAGTACGTCAATTCAAGAGAACATCCGGGAATTTGCTCACACCCAACGATTGATATACTCTCAACCAGGGCGGGCACACTTTGAACCTTCGCAAAAAAATCTAAGCACAAAAACCCAACACAAGCCGGCTGTCAGAAACTCTGAGCCCTGAAGCCCCTTCCCGACGAACCGGAGCTCGAACAAGCGATTTTGTGGCAAAGGGCTAAATCTCTGACACTGATTTGATGTTATTTGTTACTTTGGGGTTGTCTCACGTTCGCCCGGTCTTCGCGTTCAAGTTGTGCATGTGCACACCGCTAACCTTGGCCGGAGGACTGTTCTGGGACAGTATGTAGGTGTACTATATATGTTGTTAGTATATATATATATATATATATTATGTTTCTACATATCTGTATATGGGTGGTTGTCAAAATTATGGTCCCGTTTTGGGTCCCTAATATAGTACGGCACCTAATATTTAGGGTTCCCAAAAGGGTGACCATAATTTTGACAACCACCCATATGGATTGATTCCCTATATTGTGCCCGGCAGGGCATGACTTCGCAGCCAAAGCTAGACCTCCACAGCCTGATTTCAAAGATGCCCACACTCTGAGCCCTCGGCCCCACGCGAACGAGGGATGCTGATGTGTTCCACCTCACGATGCTTCGGCTTCAAGACTTAGGCTCTTCCGGCTTCATGACTTCGGGTGACGCGTTTGGCTGTCGGGGCTTTAGGAACTTTAGGACCCTAGGGAAAGATGGAACCGGAGCTTGATGGCTTGCTCTGCATTCAGTATCTCCGAAGCACTCAGCCGGACACCCCAAGCATTTGTTTTAAACGTCGTTAGGAAGCACTGGTAACGTGTAAACTTTACTTGTCCCCACGAAAGCTTGTAGTTGATACGTCTTCCAAAAAACCCCATCGCAGCCCTCAGCGGGCTTCTGAACACAGTATACAAGCTTGGAACTTGTTCAAACTAAGGGCCCACCTGGCTCTTCACGGCCACGTACCATTGCCAGGGCTTGGAGCATTCCTCGCATGTCCGGCACACGGAACTCAACCGTGGAAGTCATACCCTGTATGCCCTGACCTGGCGTCTGCTGAGATTGCTGTTCCTGCAACTCTATGCATGTGCCGGCCTTTTCGGGTTAATCAATTTATGAGACAGATAATTACACAGGTTTAGGTTCTGTGGTCTGCAGACTCGACCCTAATCCGAGTGCACAGTGCGAAACAGAATAAGCTGAACTCATCCAGGGAGCATCTTGCATGAACTGCGGCACAGGAAGCCTCAGTTAGCAGTGCTTCGAGGCAATTTTCGAAACTATACCCACATAAAGACGCAGGTCATTGTTGAAGCGATCCGCCATGCAAAAGCATCTGTGTATGTATGTAGGCAAGCCTGCATGTATGTACGTGTGGGCATACGTGCGTGCGTACGTGCGCATGTGCATGCATGCATTCTTGCCTGCCTGCCTGCCTGCCTGCCTGCCTGGATGGATGGATGGATGGATGGATGGATGGATGAATAGATGAATGGATGAATGGATGAATGGATGAATGGATGAATGGATGAATGGATGAATGGATGTGGATGGATACATACATACGATGTATATGCATGTAATATGTATATGTATATGTATATATATACACACACATGCATGCAGGCATGCATGCATGCCTGCATGCATACATGCATACGTACATACAGAAGACAGGCGGAAAGACAGGCGGAAAGACAGGCAGGCAGGCAGGCAGGCAGACAGATAGGCACGCAGCAGGCTGACAGCCATCAAAAACCTACACACACACACACACACACACATGTACACACAGACTGAAACCAGCAAACCCGATCAAGGGTAACACAGCCAAGTTTATGTACGTGCACAAGTAAGAAGCCGTTGTCCGCGATTCTCAGTGGGAATAGATGTTCAAGCCATGGTGATAATCAAACCGTAAGTTTTCGCTCTTGGACGAGGAGTGGGAGGGCCTCCGGTGGGGGCTCGCTCGGGAGCTGCACCCGTGAAGACCCAGAGCCCCGAGGCCTTGGGCAGAACACGACCGGCTGCCCGTCTATTGAACTATACATGTATTATGTTACATTAAATAAGACTACAGTAACTAGATTATAGTAGATTATGATATATAACCTCATACATTATTGTCATTATTAATCACTACAAGTGACTATTATGAATTATACTTTCATACATACATACATACATACATACATACATACATACATACACGCACATCTACATATACATACAGATGTCTGCCGGACCAAGACGCCATACAAAGCAGCTGCGGGCGGAGGAGTCGCCGGAGAGTTCCTTGGTGGAGCAAAGGGTAGACCACAGACCTCAAGATCTCAATCGGGCTTGGGGACGTCCAGGGGCCTAGCGTTTTTGAGTCTACGAACAGTTTCGCCTTTTTTGGGTTTGGATATCATGCGCGAGGCCTAGCTGAACAATTCGGGGCCCTCAATCCGTAAACATCAAGGTCGTTACCAGCCTGAGTACTCCAAACCGCCCCAGCCCGGAGCAAAGCAACAAAAAAAAGCCTTGCCCTCGAGCATGCAGCACAAAGGCACTCTTCGGCTCTGCCTGCTGAGTGTCTAAGAACCGAAGCATCTCCTTCTCGAAAGTGCAGATCATCTCCTGCGGTGCACTTGTCGGTGCTTCATGCACGGAGACGAATGCGATATCATGCACTTCGTGTCCAGGGTATTTCCTACACACCCTTGATTCATGTAGAAGCTCCGAAGATGAAACGAACCCTGGCCCTTGTGGAGCCCAGAGCCTTCAACTCCAAAAGCTTACGCTTGATCCAGGGTCCGGTGCCTGCACATCCAGATCGTTGGCATCGTCTCCGAACGGGTTTTCCTAGATGCTTGGCTTCGCATCCCTAGGATATAAAGCAATGACATGACTTTGGAATAGCAGGATGGGGCATATAGTCAGCGACTGGCAGTAGTCTGTGATCTACGGAGGTTTGGTGCTCGGCATATCTGTTCTGAGTCTGGAGTCAGCGAACAAATATTCCCGGTATACGAAGCCGAGGCTAGCGCAATGTCGACAATTTGATGCCAAGGAGCGGTTGAGGAACACAACAAAGCCCCTCCCAAATCCCCAAACTAAGGCTTTCTAGAATGCCTGCCCGCCCCTGAATCGACTTACGATCCTCAGACTCGGGGATGCAGTGGGGCCCGAGAATGACCGAACATGCAACAAAAGACCTGCACCCGACACAGGCACGCCGCTTCACTGGACCTATTGGTGCGAAACTAGTGCTACTTCGACGGTACTTTTCTCGTACTCTAGGATTGCTGTCGTTGCTGCCCATCCACGCACAACGATGACCCCCTCTCTCCCCGGAACCCACAGGCCGCAGTCCGAAGCTCAAGCTCGGTGCCGATCTGATCGATGCCCAGCAAGGCCAGTGCTGCAACCTCAAAGGGCCGAAACTTCCGGGCAGATGGGGTTTTGGGAAATACTTCTCCTGACAAGGCTTGAAAGCCATGTCCTGCAAAGAAGTTGATAGCACTAGCAAACCTCAGCCCAACCCCTGCACCCCTCAGGGCCCTGCTACTCTTGCAGACGAGCATCGGTGGGCATGAAGACGTTGGCCCAAATCCCGTCCTGCAGACACACTTGCAACATTCGGGGTCGAAGTTGAGCTGCAGGGTTCCAAAATCCAAAAACGCAACACCCGAGTTCGGAAAGGATGCGCTCGTAAAATCCTTCCAGATCAATGCTTTGAACTCTTCAGGCTCAGCAGGCTCAGACTTTTGAGGCCTTGCATTCGAGGTTGCTGGTTCGGGATAACTCCAGACTGAACGGAAGGGAAAGTCCTCTCGAACGAGAGCTCGAGCCCTTGGGGAAAACCGATGCGCTTCTATCGTCCAGAAGTCTTCCAGGGTTTGTCTCGGGATTGAGGCTGTGACGGTTCAGCATGCGCGGTGTGACTTTTAGGGTCATGCGTCGCTTAAGTCTTAGGGCCAGGGTGAAAGATCGAGCCACTGCGCCAACCCATCGGCCCAAAGCCCTGTCGCATGTAGAGAAGCGACTGAACCTTACAAAAGTATGCAGAAGGAAGAGAGACGTAGTCATCTTTGCTCATGCAGCTTCCACCGCCTCGTGTTGGATGTAGAACACCACAGAGAGGAGGTAGAGCAACAAAAGCAGCCGGACCAAGTTCACGTAGGGAAGTGGCAGAGGCGTGCAAAGCGCGGTATTCACCTGTGTCTGCTTGCCGCTACTTGGTGCTGACCCCTCTTTCAAGGACCTCTAGCCGCTAGTCTGAAGCTGCTAATTTGTGCTGCATGCAGTGCACCATCAAGGTTCTTGTTGCCAAGTCGCGCGGTCTTGCGATCTCATGAGCATGGTGCCTTGGCTGAAAGTGGCGCTCAAGGCTGAGAAGCCGCAAGCTGCTAAATATGCTCATGAACACACAAGCCCAGAGAGCCCAATACCCCTTAATTAAGGAATATGGCTTAAATTATATAGGGCTTCATATTATGATTTAGGCCATATTCCTTAATTAAGGGGTATTGGCCTCTCTGGGAGCTCGATTCAGGCGACCCGGAGCTGACACAGCCCCTCGGCATCTTGAACTATCGAACGAGGTGTCTACCTCCACTCGTTGCTTTGTCGGATTAGCTGCGGAAACTCGGTACTAGTACAAAGTTCGAGGCCAGAAGCCACTCGTCTCAAGAATCAGAACCAGGCACTCATTTTGATGAATTCTGGAAGGAAGCGCTCCTGGATTCGGAGACAGGGCTCTGGAGGCTACACCGAACTTGCAACAGCATTACTGACATTTGTGGCGGCGCCCTGTTGTCCTTGGGTACTTGTGACGTACCGGTGTCGTACTGGAGCTGTGAGCTGAATTTCTGTGAGCAGTCTCTCTAGGTTTAGGGTTTAGGGTTTAGGGTTTAGGGTGGGGCTTCCTGTTTACACGAGGAGTAAGAAGAACAATTTGAACGGCAGCAAGCAATTCAGATGTCCTTGAAGCCATACGGCTCGTTGGCATGCAGCTTGATTGACATCCTGGCGCATGGATGTCTTGCCGGACAGCCTAAGGTTAAAGGCAGCTCACAGTCCCAAACGCAAACTTTTCAGCATGCCCGGACACCCTCTCCAATCCCCAAGCTTCATTTAGGTGCGAGAGGCAGGAGGAAGTTGATAATCACCAGCAGCTGGCGATAGGAAGGCTCCATGGACACCAAGAAGTTTCCTGCTTCAAACGTGCTGTAAGAAATGGATTCGGAGTAGATGAGCCACAGGAGTTTGAATTTGCAAAGCTCAAGGAGATTCTCACAACAATTGACCATCCCTCAGGCAACTTCCCGTGGCCCACGAGACGATAAAGCACATGCTATGCTGTTATACCTGCCATGCCCAAAGCATTGACATGCAGAAGAGAAACATCGAAACACTGAAATTCCTGCACCCATAGCGAAGACAGCTAACATGCTCCAATCTTCTCTCACACTTCAGGGTTTGTCTACTTTAGAGCTCAAGCTCAAACAATTCCTAGTTCTTGGGCGACTTGCTCACCTGATTCATCCTGTTTGCTCTCGAATCTGAGACATTTTCCGTAAATTCGAGAACACCCTGGGAGAAAAACACAGCCACCGTTCAAGGCCCGGGTCCGTTCGGGTGTTGCGGCGCTTTTCGCTCGTGGAACACCTGGCAGACGTGTCGAATGTCAAGATATTTAGCGAGCCAGCTTAAGCACCTCCCTTGGGTATATGAGGACTCAAAACTTTGGCCCCCTTGCTTGCAGCCCTACTTCTTGCTGAATCTTCTTTAAGTAGGGTTTGGTCCCCAGAGGTCCTCATGCCACATGAGTGCACATGAGAACAAATCTCCCCAAAAAACCCTTGTCCAGTCCCTAGCTCTTGGAGTTTAAGATTGGGGCGTCGGGTCTGTTGGAGTTCTCAAGCCTGAAACCTCTATACATCCGCACACCACATCCTGCACGTTCGATCTTAAGACATCAAACTCTTCTCAGCCCCGAACTTGTCCAATGTCCAGTCGAGGACTCTGCTTGTGTTTCGGTGGTCAAGGCGGCCAAGAAACTTCCGAAAAGTGTGGAGCTCGCCCCTTCGAATGTACCAGCTTTGCCAAAAAACTCTCAACTTCGAAGCCTCCCAAAGGTCCCTGAATGTCCCCCGACCACCTTGTTTCGCTGCCAACATCACGGCAGCCAACCCCCCCCAAGCCCTAATAGCTTCTTCACAGGACAGATGCACTGATTTCTTGAACCCCCCCCCCCCTCCAAATCCGGGGAGCCTGGGGCTCGGTCTTGCCGGTGGACCAGAGGAGCTGCATCTCCTAGTCGAGGGCTGCGTGGGGGGGGGGGGGGGGGGGGCTCCGCTGGAGTTTGGGGATGCAGGGCGTCTATGACTTGTCCTCACTTAAGAGCCTCACAAATCTCCAGACTTGATTTTGAAACACCCCACAGCTCTGTGGAGCCTCAGCACCTGCCGTTTACGCAGAAAGAACCACATCCCCGACTCAACGCCCCTCCAGAGTTGAGGGACTAGCACAACCTCGCTTCTCGCAGAAGGCACAGAACGTTGCTGCGGTACGTGCTTATATCATGGTGGACGACAGTACGGCGTGTGATAAAGACTCTGAGACGAAACTCGCCCGACGCTCCTCGTGGGTCTCCTCCACATGGATCGCACGATCCACTTCACCAAACTCCTGTCGGGGTCTGTCCAGCTTCTGCTTCTCGTGGTGTGTAAAGTCAGCAACTGCAATCGAAACCGAGGTGATGACAACGTGCAGATGTCGGTGAGACTCATTATAGCTGATGCACAGAACTTCCACAGGCTGAAGCATGCAGAAATCTTAACACAGACCAAAACACGGATCCTGAAGTGCCCGAAGATCAAAACATGACATGCGACAGCCAGGGACACTTGCCTCCTCTGTCATCAGCGTTCGTAGGCGCATGCGGTCCTCCGTTACACGTGTGCGAGTTGTGGAGGCCATTACGGGGCATTTATGAGGTCTTGACTCATGACCACGGTGAGATGCATGCGCAAGCTGCAAGGCTTTCAAGGCTCTCCAGCTTCGGGCCTCCCTACGGTCTAAGTTTGCCGGAAGTCCGACACAAAGCTCTTCTTCCTTCAAAATGGACTTGAAAGACTCCTCTCCATACTCTGCACTCCGACGCTGTGAAAGTCAGATGAGCTGAGCAAGCTGATATTGAAGGGAAAGGCCATGATTCCACGAGTGTTCGGGATTGCTAACTTGTGTATATGCATATGTATGTATGTATATATATATATATATATCGACAGAGAGATATAGATATAAAGATGTATATGTAGCTCGAACGGAAGCTCCGCAACAGTGCCAAGGATCCCAGTTCAGCCGCCACTTGTCGTAGTCATCCAGTTCGCCGTCGTAGTAGCCTGCAGCCGTCACCAGGGCAAGTTCGGACGTTCGGGAATTTTGAAAACACTTGCAGGAGCTTCAACTGAGGACGTCCGCTGTTTCTAGTGACACATAGAGCTTTCAGAATTCTGCACGCTTGTTGGCAGTTGACCCTGCTGCTGGAGTGGGGTTAAGCTCACGTGCTTCCCTTGCTATATCAGGACCCTCCTGCAGCTCGACCATAAACTTCTGCGCCCGACGCTCGATCAAATTCAATGAGACCTAGTTCTTGAACTCAGGGGCCATGGACTGAACTACACGACTGAACTGAACTCGTGAATCGCCATTTTCCCGGAAAGACAACAGGCACAATTTCTTAATCAGGTTCCTACATAGTTATAAGTAGGGTTAGAAGCAGGATAACTATAGTTATAACCCATATTAGGGGACTTATAACCCCACTTATAACTACACAACCCCGGCCGAATCTGGGACCCGAGACCAGAGCTACTCATCCGGAGGTGGATCTTGAGGCCGACAGCGGCGGCGATGGCGAACCTCTTCAGCATGCTCTTTTCATTGTTGCATGGGATACGGTTTGGGGGGCCCTGCAGAAAGTTGCGACTTGCACCTTGACTGACATGGCCTGAGGGCTCGGGAGATCCAGTGCGCATTCGGACATTCCCAACTTCCGAAGATGCCATCGCTTTGGAATTCCATCTCCCCCAAAGCGGAACTTAAGCTGAGTGGGGTTGGGCCGAATGACTCGGGCCTGGAGTTGAAAGTATAGTAGTGCCAAGCTCTTGCGAGGGTTGTTTTGGATCCAGAAGCCTTGTTCCAGAATATCTGGGACAATGAATGGCAATCCCGATTTGCCATCCGTACAATCATGTTGGGTGCAAGGCCCTCTAAAGGCCTATTGGCATAAGCATGGGGCTTAGATGCTTTCGTCGGGGTGTGGGTGTTTTCCTTATTGACCGTGCATGGAACGACGTTGCTTGAAATTCCAGGACCTGAATATATTCTCGGGCGGAGTATTCACGATCAAACTTAGCGGCCAAGCTACCGGACCACGTCCATGCGGGCGTGGGAGGCCCGGTAATCGTCCTGCGAGTGTGGTGACCGGACATGCTTGGTGATGCGATCACCACCAGAAAGACAAAACAGAGCCGTGATGAACCCTGCGACGGTCTTCAGTAGCTTCAGCTGCCTATATACCTATCTAACTAACTCTCCGGCTACCTACCTGTAAACCATAAACAGTGCCATGCATGCATGCGTACAGCGCACATACATACATACATACATACATACATACATACGTACATAAATACGTACATAAAGACACGTGTGCATACATATCCCTCCGTGGGCATCCATTCATCCCCGCCTCCCTTCGTCAATCGATCCATCCAAGCTTGCTTGCTTGCTTCCGGAGGAGATGACGCAGCGTAAGCAGGAGACTTCTGAGCAGGCTTTGGCAAAAATCACTAGGTGTTTGTGTTTGGGAGCTTGCAGATGGCCAGGACAACCACTCCCCCCGGCCCTGTGGCCAACCTCGCCTGTGCCTCCAAGAACTCACAAGGCTGCGAACCGCTATGAAACACCAAAGCCGAGACCTGCAAAGCCAGGTTGTAATCTGCTAAAGACCATAAACCATTCGAGGCATCCTCGCACAGACGACGACGACGAACCACCAACCATCATTGAAGTCTGTGAGACAGAATGGCAGGATAATGATTCGGAAGCCTCGTCATCCAAGCTCTGCTTCCATGGAAGATTGAAGCCATCCTCTCCGCACCTCACAATGCCCAGGTCCCAAGGCAGGCATTAGATGTATGGCTTGACGGTATGTATGGCTTGGAGGGTTCCTCGAGGCTTTATGACCCCAGCAGGTTAATTACTCATACTCGCAACAGCAACACAAACAGTAACAGGCTTAAAGAGCAGAAGTTCATGAGCGAGCTGTGTTCTGAAGCAGCCAGTGTGATGTCGTCATACTGTAGCATGAGCAACTGGTAAGATCTCTGCCGCCGTGATGCCTGCGGTTCCAGAGGTACTGGCCCTGCCCTCCTCTTTGAGACTTTTGGATTTGTGGCCAGCGAAGTATCCATCCAATGGCTTTCGGCTTCTGGGGAAGGTTAGCTTGGGATGATCAGGTCGTCATGTCTGGATTCTGGAGGCTCGAGCCTGCGTCATCAATGGAAGAAGAAGAAGAAGCAAACTGCTTCTGTTTTTACAGTCTCCATTCGCCGAAGTTTGCTGGCGGACTGGGTCCAAACCGAGAGCTCAACCGTGAATGCTTCCGCGGCTTTAGATGAATTGAGGTGTAGGGGCAGACAAAGCCTCGGCCCCAACTCAGGTCCTCGGAAGAGGCCGCAGGCCAACATCACCACCGATCGCAGGTTCGAGTAAAACTCGACCTGAGCTGGAACGATCGCATCTTCGATCATCCATTCCCCGGTTCCAATGCTTCTGCTTGAAGCTCAATTTTTCTCGTGTCTTAAGACGGCAGCCCTTGCTTTCTCAGCTGAAAGGCTGGAAAAGGGGACCCATGGCTGGTTTGGACTCTGGTGCTTCTGTCAGGCGGCCTGTCAAAGCTACTCCAGAGGTTTTTATTTATGTTTCGCCAAGACTCTGCATGCATCCGCCCCTCCCAGTATCGCTTGTAGGAGGAGTTGGCACGGAAGACGATGAGAAAGCAAAGGCACTTGCCTCTGCATTCAAGGGCTCTGCAGATACCGAAACTTCAGTGCTCCTAGCAAGCCAAAAGAAGGAAAGCTTGGCCTTAAATTTCAGCTCCGGGCGTCACGGTGAAGTCTTGATATTGCATGTGCTGGCGTCGCAGTTCAGGTTTGATGGCCTTACAGCCTTACACCTGCACTTGTTCTATCCCCACAAGCCTAGCGCTTGCATGCCGCCATGCGGCCCCAAATTTCGCTGTGCTTGAAGGCGTTCCCGAAGTTCATGTCGAGGAACTCTTCCTTTGGCAACAGAGATACCGGTAGCCTCCCTCAGCGCCGATGCAGCTCCGCCCCCAACAGTCGAGTGCAATTTGCAGCTTCGACTGGTGCCTCTTGGATCAAAAGGGGTGCCTTAAAGTACAAGCCAGAAAGTTGGAATATGATTATCCTAAACCCTTTATGGTAAATTAAAAGGGATCCTACCATTAATCCATATTCCAACTTTCTGAAGTTCTCTTTATGCGGTCGTCTTGGGCCCCCACCGACCCAGCAGTACTCGCCAGAATGGGGAGCATCAGTAGGATTAAGCTATACTATTCTGCACAGGGTATTCGGACATCGAGTGGGCTCTGCATGCTGCGTCATCAAGATCTCATAGATCGTGCTTGGCCTGCTTGCCCAGTGCTTCCGCGTCTGCCCTGATGCCCGATACTGCCGAGCGACTCAACTGTAACGGACCAAGGCGGCTCCGAACTGTAACCTACGCAGCCTCATCCAAAACTGCAACGTGCTACAAAGTCGTGTGCCCGTAGATTCGTAGCAACCTGTTTCACTGCACAGTCACATCATGTTCGTCAGCAAGCATCTAGAGCCGATAGCACAAAGCTTTCGGATTCGAGCTACGCTTTCACTTTGACCCAGGCCATGGGAAAACAGCGGCTAGCTGCGGCTTTAAGTTCTTGATCTTCGATACCCAAGGGTCGAGAAGAAAAGCCGTCACCAGGTAAACAAAGAAGAGGCCCAGCTTGTTACAGCAGGCCTGCGACAAGCCCGTGGGGTGGAGTTCTTTGTTCGGCACTGCGATGCAAAATGCATCAAGGATACATGCACTGCTTTGGAACATGTAAAGCATGTATGCAAATCAATGACTAGACCGATGAAAACGCAGAAGTGGCACATGGCACAGCTCATGATTCGAGGAGAGTTGGGCATGTGATGTCGTGTCAGCACCCCATATTTAATGATTCGAACCGGGCTCTTGGGTATCATAGTTTCCGTAGCCAGGAGCCTGCTGCGGCTGTGCAGAAACCCTATCGGAGCCTACCTGCAACAGGGTCCTTGACGCCAAAACTGGAGTTCGGATGCCTGGATGGTCGTTCCCTCCCATCTGAAGAGGACGTCGGTCCAGGATGCGGCATTGTACCAAATCATGCGGATGTGCAAAGACTGCACCGACAAATCAGCTAAGAAGCATCTAGTTCCCTGCGACGTTTGACAACACGCTCATATAACTCGGCACGAGTGCACGAAGTTCTCTGATGAACAATCCGAATACAACCCGCCCCGTGTTTAATACTGAAATCTCAGGTGTGACGGGGGGTTGAGCCTCAGAGAGCCATTGAGGTGTCAGGCTCCGGGCTACCAATATCATCTTGGGCGAGGTCATGTTGCTTAGTTCAGCGACCTAGTCAAAGCTGGGGCCGAAATCCGTGCCGCAGTCAGAATTCAAGCAGCTGCGCTTGTTCCTCCTTCCAACCCCCGTCTCGTTGCCGTTGCTCTTTGCAGTTCAGAACCATGTCGACTCCTCGAACCCCGAAGCCTTAAAACCGTGTAGATGAACTAAGACTGGGACGAGTATCCCCAGTATAGTATAGTTTCGAGTCCTGCATACCATGCGTTGAAAGTTTCATAAACGGCGGCTATGCCCCAAAGCTCGGATCCATGTCAATGTGCATGGGACTGTCTTGGTGCCTCACAGAAATCTCGGACTTACACTCGAAACCCTAAATTGCTCTAGAGTAAACCGGCCTTGTTTCAGGAAGCATGCAAACCCAGGCACGACACTAAACTGAATTACATAAAGCAAGTACTACACGTTACTTCGAACGGCCTTTGCGTATGTGGTGTTCAGGGCTGGGTGAGGGCTTGGCAAAAACAGCTCTTCCACCTTGTCGGCCACCTCTGCGCCGACTGCTTCCTAGCAAGGGCTCCACGGAAGCCCTTCCAGATGTTACGAGGCGCTGGTGGGCTAGTTTTGCTTTGACTACAAGATGGCTTTGGTCTGAGCTTGAGGAGAGGTGGGCACGCTTGAAAGGCCAGGGAGAAACAGCTCCAACCAGAAGACGAAGAATCAAAACACGTCGCAGGGTACATCTCTTGTTTGCTTGATGCTGCTCTTCCAGGTCGCCCGCTCCTGCAATCGGGGCCAACAACTTGATCGAAAGTTCCGGTCTGCTTGAAGCCAGCTTCACCCTTCAAAACCGCGCTGAAAGCCAAAGCACGCAATACATCCTGATCCCCTTGCGGACCCTCCAAGTTCCCTCCACATCATCATCGCTCTGCGCGCTCTTGGCAGGATGGTTTCGGATAGCCGTGCCTAATTCATACAACCACAGACACCCTGCAACCGTGCACCCTGAACCTGATCCACGAAGCCTGGCAAAACCCCAATCATCCGAAGCGCCAAGCCTTGAGGTAGGCGCGGATGTTGGCCTGCGGGGCCAGATCTCAAGCTTTGGCTTTGGGAGATTTCCTAAGGGCCCTGTAGCTTCTCGGAGTACTGGGCCTTAATAATTAGAACAGGGTTTTGGGGCCTATTATTTTAATTAATATAATTGTAATAAGGAGCCCCCAACTTAGTATTGGTAATTATGTAAGCCCTTATAGCAGCAGGTTTACCAGGGACACCGGAGCTGACACAGGGAATTGCTACGCCCACACCTGGGTCTCCTCCGCCTGGTCGGGTGTGGCCACCTTGCCGGTTCCGATGGCCTCGCAAATGGCTCTCTTCAAAGCTCAGTCCCCCTGAACTTTCTGCTGCAGATATACTACAGAACCCTTCTTGGGAGCCGTGGATGTCTCGTATTTACCGGTTCGTTGGCCCGAAGTGCTGAACCTTTCTGTTGTAGTACGACTACTCTCGGGCTGGGGTTTACATATCGGGATTCGGTTTGGGATTTGGGGCTCAGGCCTAGAAGGTTGGTGGCGTTGTTCAGGAGACATCCCATGCGCCGCAAGCGAACAATGCACACCAAGCCACCCAGACAGGCTCGTAGGCGATGACAATGTTGTCCTGCCCCAAAACTGTAGCATATTCCGGCCAGACATGGTAATCCACATATATGGTAAGTATTATCATAAAGTGCACTGAGAAAGAATAGGGTAATTCTTCTGGCTCCTGCACTATGCTGGCTGTCCGAGGAGCCAGACTTGAAGGTGGACATCTGCGGGTTGAGATGTGAAGTTTCGAACACTAGGTCCTGGAGACCGTCAAGCCTAAACCCGTGGAACGGAAGTGTAGACAAAGACTTGGGGAAGTCAGAAGTCGTCAGTGCGGCCATTCAGTCTCTGATCGGTGGTTCAAGAACGTGCATTGCTCCAGGAAACTCGTGGCGGGTCAGACCAGGCACTGTAGTCACTAGATATCAGTTAATCATCCTGGCATGCCATTTTCGTCTGCGTTGGCAAAGCTTGGAACTGGAGCTTGGAACATCGGACTGGGTTGCTCTCAGATCAGGGCTGTGGAAACTTATACTGAGTGCAGTTGCGTCTGGCAATGCGAAGCAGTCCCAGTTCGTGATCTTCGGGATCACAGCGGCGAGCTGACGCTTGTTCACCTCAGGCTAAGCTTCAAGCGGTGAGTCTCGTCCAGCTAATTCAGCCATCGTTTCTCACCGAGTCGAGGTGTCTAGAACGTTTGCGGCTTAGTCGGAAATACTGCAGCGAGCCAAAAGAAGAACAGAAAACGTCTGCCGCAATGTTGGGCAATCCGATCCGACAGATCCGAAGTGGACCGTTACACAAAACACCGAGGCCCGCTGGGGTTTAGGGTTTAGGGTGAATTCTGAACTCGTCTTGTCAACTCAAGCTGAGGCTCGGGATCGAGACACATGCTGGGGCGCAGTTCACCAACACTCGCCTGACCGCAGAGTAGCCTTCATAACGCCCAAGACAAAGTCCGAAAAAATACAACACAAATCTAAAAATTACCGACAGGGCATCAACTTAAGACGTACGCAAAAAGATAAGACACTATCACTACCCACGCAAGAACAGAAGAGAGAGAACCGGGCGCACGCACCTTGAAGGAACCTCGAACACCCTTGAGTTCCTTTATAAACCCTGAACCCTAAAACCCTCAACCCTCAAGTGCAAAAAACCCTAAAAAGCCTAAACACCCCTAAAAGTTTCCTTGGGCTCCTGAGCTCCCAAAGAGACAAAAAAACGGCGCCTCGTCCGTCTTGCCGGACTCTCGCTCCTCCAGGAGCTCGCCGATGCAGAAGATCACCTGCTTGGAGGGTCGGGGGACTTAGTAACTGGTTATTTTAGGGACTTATAAGTACCATAACCCCAATTAGGGTCCCTTTTGGGGTACTTATAAGTCTACTTACTACCTGGGAGTTTCCGAAAGTTGGGGGTACCTTACTCTGGCGGCCTTATAATAAGGATCCTACTATTTAGGGTACTATTTTGTGGTCCCCCATTGTCGGAAACTCCCACCTGGGTTTAGCGGCTTTAAGGGCCTTTGGAAGTAGGCTTTAGGGTGTAGGGGCTTTAGGGGGCTTTGGAATTATATGTAAGATGAGAGCTCAGGCTTATATAGGGTTTAAGTGGTTTAGGGCTTTTTTCAGGGCTTTAAGGTCTAGTAGCTTCACGGTTTCAATGTATAAACTGGGAGTTCCGGGTTGCGGGTTTCACGCTCTGAAGGCTTTGTCTATATTAGTCCTTTAGCTGTGCGCGTCCAGAAATTCCGAGTTGGTTGAGGGAGGGGGACACCTTGCAAGACCCCCAAAAAACAGCGGGATGACCACCCAACCACCCATCCCCCATAGGACCTTCCGAGTTTCTTTAGAGCTTGCAGGCACTCTTGCAAGGTTTTGTAAGGCTTCGGCGGAACCCTCAGCTCCACACCCAGTGCTTGCGGAGTTCGGGTGATCACTTTGCTTTTTCGGTTTGAGACAGGGCAAGGCATTGTCTCTGCAATCCTTAATCGTCTTGTGGTTTAGGGAGGAGGGCATTCGTTGCCCCAAAGCCTCAACAGCTTGTCAAATCGAAAGGGCGGAGCCTTGATCCCGGCTGCCTGGCACTTCTCCACCTTCACGGCTGTGTCCTGTTTGGAGGCAGAGCGGTTCCGGGCATGGGGAGTCAGACAACTCTAATGAGACTGCTGCACACAGATTGGCAGGAATTGCCGACAAAACTGAAAGCACCGTTTTGGAGCGTGCGGCATGCTGCAAGACCCCAATGCCAACATGGTCTCCCTCTTCAAGTCAACTCCTGTCGATTCTACGGCCTCCACTTTTCCTGAAGCAAGGGGCCTGCGATTTCCTGGTCTTTGAGCTATGGAGCTAGTTGCTCCGAGCAGATTCGGGTTCATGTCTTACAATTTCGACATGGTTGGTCGAAATGCTGTCCTGCTTAAGCTCACCTCGAGGCTCAACTCTGGGAAACGATGCACCCTCCTTGTTTATACTACCCGACTGGACCGAAACATTGTCCGTAGTCCGTGCTGACTAGTATCAAAAACTGCCTTACATGCTCGAAAACACTCAGCTTCTGCCACCTCGTCGGATTCGCCGTACTTGCTTCGACGTTCCGAGTGGCCGATGAGGGTATATGGCACCTCCGACTATCTGAGGTCAAAGACTTTGAGCAAACATATTACAAGTTTCGGTACATGAAGCTTCACTCAAGATTTGGGGTCTTTGAAACTGGGGCCCAGCGAAAGGCGTATGCTGGATTCGAAGAGTCCATACAAGATTTGAGCCATCAAACTCGAACCACGACAGCATTCGACAAGCTTCATGGTAGCTGATGTAGTTCTAAGATCGGAGCTACATCCGAAACAGGGACCCTGCTTGTCGGGATGGTACCTCACAGAATCCCCTCTCTTTTTGCATTCCAATCTGGGCGCATGGCCTTTTGCCGCTGTCTAATATTGCAGTGGACCAATGGTTTAAGGCCGTGGCTTCGGGATGAGGGACGAGGACTTATGGATCTTCAGCTGCTTCGAAGCAGCCGGCACAGTGCTGTGGCCCTTGCTTGCAAATCCAGCAGATGAGGGATTGCAATTCTGCTGCCGGTACCCACTGGGCACTGTTGACCTTCGGCCGCACCGACAAACTGCCCGAGTCCATGAAAAACGCTCAACTACCTGAAAAGTCCTGAAACCATGCAGAAAAGCGCAGAAAGACACGAAACCACACACCAATCTAAGGCCTCATAATCCATGCCGAAGCCCGGGAAGGGTAGAAGGAAACAATGAAACAAACAGTTGAAGGCACCTCCATGTCCTGCAGGTGCACGGCCTTGGCAGAGGATCGTTGACGTCCGACATTTGTCGATGCTTGAAGCAGTTCATCGAATGAGAGGGTGAACAAGGAATCATCAGAGACATTTTGCAGGTCTGACCTACGGATGCGAGGCATTGGAAGCACCACGAATGTAAACGTAGCCCTGTGCGAGCTGAGGTGATGTAATGACCAACCAACCAACCAACCAACCAACCAACCAACCAACCAACCAACCAACCAACCAGAGAATCTACTAGAGTCTGAAATAGTATGCCATAAGAACCTACTACAATACACTACAGTATAATATGCCACAATAATCCACTATTATATAATGGAGCATATTATACCATATTATTCTACTAATCCACTAGAATCTGTCAGGTCCCGAGCTCCTCCGTGCCGAAACGTCTTTTGCAACCGCCGCGCACTACATGGAGGATCAGGCGCTCCTAGACGTTTAAAGGGATAATAATAATTCCAGTAAGAACAACATGGCAACGAATAACACTAATGATGATATTGGTATTCATACTACAACATTCAGGCAATACGGAATCCCAGAAAGAGCTCAGAGTTCGATTGATCGGAGCCAGGACATTCAGGGAGAAATCTGGACAAACGCCTAGCAGGCCCTGCACCGCCACAGTTTCAGAGGGCAATATTGTCCCTGCAGATACCCCTAGTTGTCCCCGTGCAGCTCGAAGCTGCAACAACCCTGAACCTGAAGGCATGGTGAGTGAGTTTCCGCTCGAAGCAAGCTCCAAGTATGAAGCTATTGACGGATTTGCAATCCTGCTCGCCTGCTACCGGACTCCACGAATGCACAACTGTTCGAGACGGGTTTCAAGTCTACTGCTACGCTGTCATGTGTGCTCATTTTCAAAATGGTACAGGCCCTTTTGATTCATGCACGGCCTTCGGGTGAAGTCTTCGATGCCGGACAGTTCTCCGCAGCACCGCAAATGCCCGACGCAACGGAGCACGTGGCAGTATTCGACAGGGAGAGGGCAACATTTCAAGCTGCAAACCAGTACTCAGTGCAACCCTGCAGGTCCGCATGTTAAGGGCATGCGAAGAGCAGCTGTTCCTGCCCAGGGCCTTGACAGCAAAGCACAACTCAGGGTTCCATGGCTGTAAGCTAGCTGAAGCACTCAACACCACAAAACCCAAGTCGGCATCAGCGAGTTCGTGAAAATCGCGAACCCTCAACCGCCGCGGTGTTGTTGACTGGGCTCCAGACGGTCCACTCACCCGTGAAGGCACCCATGTCCTTGGAATCCAAAGGCTCGGCCATGATAACAGTCTTCAGACTTACTTGTTAGGCTTTGCAACAAGCTATTTTTCACACAGCCGAATTATCGTCTTGGTTCGTTCGAAGGAGTCCACACGAGGCTGGCCCGACACACGGCCACCTCCAACGCAAGATGTTGCTTGTTGAGTTCGGGCTCGAGAACTTGAAGCCTTGACATCCCCGATCCCAGTCATGCAGACTTCCGGAGGCAACGGCACGAGCTTTGGGAAGCCATATCGTAGCCTTACTATGACATTGAAAAGTTGGCCTTGAGCAACTCTCGGAAGGATTGGTCAGACACAAACGGTTTAGAATAGGTTTAGGCAGTCGGGGTTGGGGGCCAGAGCGCAGGGGCTGCAGTCTGAAAACATTCATGCAAGCGTCATTCTTGCCCACGTTCTGCGAGGAGACCTGGCCAAAAGAGGGAAGAAAGGATCCAAGGCTACTGGCTTCACAGCTTCTTGGAGATGGCATCCCGGATTCACCGACAGTTGAAGCTTCTTCCTAAGAGGTATTTTTTGATGGCGGGGTCTTCGAAGGAGTTCTTCACTGAGCAACATGGCGCTCCAAGAAGGACTCTAGTCTGAATACCACGAAAGCACCGCACTGTTTCTCCTGAACCAGGCTAACGCTTACGGTAGGGTCAGTAGGGCTTCGTCAAGTGACGACAGGAATCTGAAACTTCGGAGCGTTGAAACCTAAATCGCAAGCGCTCAAGCCCACACCTTCCATCCCGCTTCTCGGCTTCGTTAGTAAGAAGCAAGTACCGAAATCTAAACCACTGGTTGAGACTCCGATTTTCCATAGCCAAATCCCTATAGTAACCTTCAGCCCTAGGCTATTCCCCATGGCGCCTGCATACCAAGGCCCTCCAGGCCGGCTTTGACGGATCCTCGGAGTTCGTCACCAGAGAAGAGCTCTCATCACTTACCCCCTCCTTCTTTGAAGCTTCAACAGAATCGGGATAGTGCTAAACTGCTAAACATCAAGAGTTTTGCAGTACTTAGTTACTTAGTTGAGGGTCGGAGGACTTGTGAGGTTGGGCCTGCTGAGCTTCAGAAGGCTTATCATTGCGGAGGGGTATTTATGCTATCATGACCGGTCGCCACAGAGTACTGAGTATGCCCATAAGCCTGAAACTACCGCAGACAAGACACCCAGGTGAAGCGCGGTCGGAGCGATTACAACTTCCACCTTGTCCTGCAAACAGTTGCGGGCATTGTAGGCAGGGTCTTCAGTGCTGGGAACCTCAAGACCTAGCAAAATTTGATATCATATGTGGTTAGACAACGACTCGGATAGCAAAACTAGTTCACCGAAGCCACTTTATTCACGCGAACGGCAATGCTCGGCCTGCCACCTGTCTGCATTTCACAGTTCAAGAATGGCGGGGCCGTCGGATTGTGTCCCACGTCCGTAGAAGAGCAAAGCATGGCGAATGGCTTGCTTTTGTTAGCCCTTGAGGACATATAGGCGTACGAGGTACCAATGCAATCTGCACGAGCTCCGCCGCCAACACCAACAGCATCCCCAGCACCAACCCCCACCCTGACCCCGACCAGCCAACCAGCCAGCAAGCCAGCCAGGCAGCCAGCCAGGCAGCCAGCCAACCAACAGCACCTACAACAATCCCTACTCCAACTCCTACTCCCACTCCTACTGTTGCTGCTGCTGCCACTGCAACTGCTGCTGCTGCTGCTACTACTACCAGCAACACCTTCACTAGTCTAATTTAGGGGCCTTATTAACTAGAATAGGGTTTGGGGGCACACTATACTATAATCAAAATAAGGGACCACCAAAATAGTATAGATAATTATTTAGACCCCTGTATTAGGTTTCCGAAGTTCATGCAACAGGGAACCCCTATGACCTCCCCTTCGAGAAACCGAGCCCCCCGAAGCAGAACCGCAGAAAAACCCAAGGTTTCTGGTGTATAACTGTATATATATATATATATATATATATCCCTAAGGGTCCAAGTACATAATAATCATATACTCTCTTAAATATTAAGCTACATAACTACTATCCTAAACCCAAGTACCTGATTATTGGGTCCTTTGGACCCTTAGGGTATAGATAGATACATAGATAGTTCCCTTTATGAAACAACAAATCCAATTTCATCCCCTGCTGTGTCACTCTTCAGGGCCGCGTACAATTCTATCGACGCTACACGGCTACAAGATCTTTTCCCCTTTCCACGTCTTACTAGAGACTGCAAGTCCCTGACTACAAACCCCAAAACCCTGCCTTGTCGAATCCTTTCTCCTTCCACGCTTCCACTAGGGCCTCTTGGGTTTGCTCGTCCGGGCAGCTTTGGGTTGTCGTTGGTCTCATCGTTACTGTTTTTGCTGGGGTTGCTGCTGCTGTTGTTGATGGTGCTGCTGCTCCAGCTGCCGGTGATGGCGTTGGTGCTGGTGGTGGTTTTGGTGTTGGTGTGGGTATCGTTATGGTTATCCTTGACATCGCTGTCGCTGGCGTTGTTGTTGTTGCTGCTGCTGTTGCTGCTGCTGGTGCTGTTGCTGTTGCTGCTGTTGTTGCTGTTGTTGCTGCTGTTACTGTTCATTGTTGTTGTTCGCGGTGGTGGTGGTCGCGGTGGCGGTGGCGGTGGCGGTGGCGGTGGCGGTGGCGGTGGCGGTGGCGGTGGCGGTGGCGGTGGCGGTGGCGGTGGCGGTGGCGGTGCGGTGGCGGTGGCGGTGGCGGTGGTGGTGGTGTGGTGGTGGTGGTGGTGGGGTGGTGGGGGTGCATGGGGGTGGGCGTGGTGGCGGGTGGCGGTGCGGTGGGTGGCGGTGGGGGGGCGGTGGCGGTGGCGGTGGCGGTGGCGGTCGCGGTGGCGGTGGTGGTGGGGGTCGCGGTGGCGGTGGCGGTGGCGGGGGCGGCGGCGGCGGCGGTGGCGGTGGTGCAGTGGTGGCGGTGGTGGCGGTGGCGGTGGCGGTGGTGGTGGTTGCTGTTGTTGCTGTCGTTGAAGTCGTAGTAGTAGTAGTAGTAGTAGTAGTAGTAGTAGTAGTAGTAGTAGTAGTAGTAGTAGTAGTAGTAGTAGCAGTAGCAGCAGCAGCAGCAGCAGCAGCAGCAGCAGCAGCAGCAGCAGCAGCAGTAGTAGTAGTAGTAGTAGTAGTTGTTGTTGTTGTTGTTGTTGTTGCGGTTGTGGTTGTCGTTATAGTAGTAGTAGTAGTAGTAGTAGTAGTAGTAGTAGTAGTAGTTGTTGTTGTTGTTGTTGCTGCTGCTGTTGTTGGTGGTGGTGGTGGTTGCTGCTGGTGCTGCCGGTGCTGCTGGTGGTGGCGGCGGTGGTGTTGTCCAAGTCACCGTCATCCTTAATGGTGTCGTTGTGCCTGTTCACCCCATGTGGCAAACTAGGTGGTTTAGCAAGTGGCACATGGAAGAATGACCTTGCAGACAAGTAAAATGGCCTGCTCAGGTGTGTGTAAGATATTCCAAAACGAATGGGGCGCCGACGACCCAACAACCAGAATGCAATGATGTATGTTTATCATCAATCACATCTACTATCGTATGCCTCCCGCTTCAGGGATGTCTGGAGCACGGCGATGGTTGGATTTCAAACCATAGAGACGAAACGCCAATTATCCCGACACATTCACCCACCGGCAAGCTCACATTGCAGTGTCCAAAACCTCCAGCCGTCGAAAGCTTAGCGGTGCATACGTCCTAGGCTTGGCAGACAGTTCCTACTGAGACACGATTGCATTCACGGCCGTTCCATGCTACTTGCATCTTCGTCACGATCACTGCCATCAGCAGAATCAAGGCATCACCACCACCACCACCACCACCACCACCACCACCACCACCACCACCACCACCACCACCACCACCACCACCACCACCACCACTATTAATACATTCGTCTATAACCCCTTCTGAAACGCCTAAACCCTGAGTAATTAAAGCTTAGCTGTCGGTTGGGCACGTATACGAGCTACGAGCACAGCGAGGCTGGCTTTCACGCCTTGGCATCCGCCAGCTTGCTGGGGTTGCACTTCCAGTTGCCACCAACGATCGGCCTTTCTTGAGCGCTGCTTTGCGTCTGTGTGAAAGGCGTATACCGTAATACGTACTCTTTAGCGCATTCATAAAGCTTTGCAGTGCTCTCCAGATCAGAATCCTTCTAACAGAGTTCCACGGTCAGAAACAGCAGCACTGTAGGCAGCACTCTTCAGTGAAGCTCGGACATTGCCCTCCGTCGGACTTTAAATGATGTCCTTGAGCCCAAACCGGAAATCCTTATGCGAAAGAACGGAGGCCCTTCGTCGCACACTGTGCCGAGAGCCGGGCTTGCGGGACATGATGACCTGAAGACGGCTAAAGTACAAGCGCTCCAAAGTGTTTAATAAGGGGGCGTGCGGCTTTGTTTAGGAGTTTCATGGGTCGAGAATTTCTTCACCAAGGGGTTGAGGGTTCGGGGGCTAGCACTGAAAGGGGCCAGGTGCAGCTGAAGTAGTTTCCGAGTTGCAACGGCTTTCACAAGGATGGAAGGCTCGAGGCCCCAACCAAAGTGCATCCCGAAGCGGCTAACATGCTGAACCCCCTCCTTGCAGCCTTCATTTCCGGCAGCTTCTTGCCGCGTCATTCAGGGTCGCTTGCATTCCAGGATGATCATTCAGTCTGGAGAGCATTTTTGGCTGCATGGCTCAGCAAGCTCCAGGTTTCAAGGTGTCGGGAATCACCCCGTGGATGCTTCAGGCGCTCGGGGTTTGAAAGGCACTGCATCTTCTCCACAGGCCTTTTCGAAATGCGAAATATATCGTAGTTCCTCAATGTCCCGGCCCTAATCATTAAGGCTGGGACCTCCGTTGTATCGTAAGCTCAAGACACCTTGTCAGCCCTGCAAATCCAAACGGGTGTAGGAAGCCTATCAGCCCTAAGCCCTCTGCCCTCAGAGAATCAACCTTCCGCCAACTCGGCTCAGGGCGGTGCGAAAATGCGAGAGAGGTGCACGAACAGGCCAAGTTGAGCTCTGAAGTTGCTGCTTTGAGCACATACGCATCGGAACGAGGAGGCCATAAAGCCCATGAAACCGACTTGCGAAGCCAATGCCAACCGAAAAGGCCTTAGGGCCAGCCTTTGCCTCTGCAGGAGCTCTGGGGCATTCGGGGTGTTCAAAGTGTGGAACTTCGGGGTGCGTACTAGTTCATCCTGCGGATACCACATATCACGATGAACATGCTCACCGTCATCCCTGCAGCGTTACAGTGAGACGCGCAACAGTAATGCATGCCAGACCTGGGCTGTTTTCAAACAACGATCTGCAAGGGTATAGGGTTTAGGGTTTAGGGGACAAGACACTTGTCAAACAACGGAAAACCGTGGGACGTGAAGACGAGCTGTAACGATGACGTCATGTGACTGGGCTTCAGAATTTAGAGCCCTGGTTCGCGGGTACTAGCAAGGCTAGCCGACTATGAGCTGATGAGCTCATTTAATGCAGGAAGCCTCGCAGCACATGTGCCTCCAAAAATGTAACATGAGCGCAATTGCAGCAATAACTGAGCCTTTCTAGCTATTGGCATTTATTCGTCACGATTCGGAAGCTTGACAACTTCGCCATGTGGAAGAGTGTGAACTCAAGTTAATCGGGCCGTTGTGGTTTAAGGCTGGATGCTGTCCGCTTTACGCGGGCGTGCAGTCTACACCAAGGTCACTCCAACAGGCCTCGTGGCTTTAAGCACCTGGGCTGGACCCGTCTGTTGTCTGACAGCGGCACACCCTCTTTTGTGAGACCGCGCGTTGATGCTGTCTTAAATCGGAAATCGAAATCATCCGGCAGGCACCTTCCTGGAAAGAGCCGGGCTGTTCACTTCCCGGAGGATAAATCTGCGAAGCGGGTCAGCTACAGGCAATGAATGCTGTCAGAATTCATCCCCAAAATCATCGTTGTGTTCCCAAAGTCGCCCGAAGTGAAAATCCGACTTGCATGCATGTAGAGGGTTTTTGCACATGTCAGAACGGAAAGGGGCTGCAGACTCTCAGATATATACCACATACCTCTGCGCTTCGTGTCCCCCCTAACACTTTCTACCTCTGCTCTTCGTGTCCCCCTAGCACTTTCTACCTCTGCGCTTCGTGTCCCCCTAACACTTTCTATCCAGCATAGTCAGGACGAAGACCCTACGTCAGCCTTTCGCCCCATGCATGGGACTTCGGCTTTCTGGATCAGACTCAAGATCCTTCTTCTCATCTTTTGCATTTCCGGAAGGGCCCCCTGGCTTTCTGCGGAGACAGCATGGAGCCCCATGAACAGAGGCATGAAAGCGACACCTTGAGTTTCGAAGCTTTTCAAAGCGCTTTGGAGTGCAATCCTCAGCCCGTTCTGACACTAGGCGGCCGACGCCCCGGAAACAGTGTAGGGAAGCCCCTTCACAACGAGGCAAACCCCAAGTTCTTTCCCAGAGAGCTTAACTTGAGGAGGTTTGCTCGGCCACATGTCTTATCTGCTACCTGTACACAAGTATTTTCTGGGTCTAGTGCCGGGTGGCTATGGGGCCGGAACCCGCAGAGTATTCTCTAGAGGTTGAAACAACAGAAATGCAGACAGCTCCACAGATTCGACGATGCCTGGATTCTTGGCGCCCGAGCGGAACATACGCCTAAGCCACCCGCAGCTTGGGCCCTAGGGAAAAGACGATGCCACGGGCCGGCCTATAAATATATATATATATATATACACATATGTATATATATATATATATGTGTGTGTGTGTGTGGTGTGTGTGTGTGTGTGTGTGCGTGTGTGTGTGTATTGTATTTTGTGTGTGTGTGTGTGTGTGTAAGGCTAATCCACGGGGGTCCGGGATTCAGGGGCTCTCCGGTTCCGCATTGATGGCAGGAGTCGGCCCAAGGGCTCTGAGCCTTCGAGGTGTCTGCAATCCGCCTGTGGGTGCTCTCTCTTCGTGAAGTCTCCACACTGAGGACATTAACTTCTCCGTAGACCAGATGTAGAGCAAGATGGTCTTCTAAGGATCGCACTTGGGAGCATAGGGCTCACTAGGGACTCAGCTCAAAGTTTACTCTCATCATATCGCGCTGGAGTAGATTGTTAAGGGCTGGGCGGACCACTTTGCTCAATAATTTTGGAAAATCCTCTGGCATCGCCCCCGGAGTTCAAGGGCTGGCCGCGGACGATCGTCAGTTCCTCAAAGCAACAGAGGCGCCCATGGAGTGTGTATCAACGCAAACTCCTCATAAGAGGCACAAATGTCGAAGTGCAACCGTTGGGATCGTCATTAATTGATGCGAAGGCCAAACAGCAGGGAGGGCCTCCGAGTTGCTACGAACCCAATCCTGAAACGTAGCCCATGACCCAGAGCCTCCGAACATGACTCAGGACTCAGGCAGGCCAAATTACCGGAATCCTCCTCCGACAGTTGACAAGTGCTACTGTGCTGCCACTTCTTTTGTTACCACTGCTGCTACTGCCGCTACCGCTGCTGCCGCGAGGATGATGATGACGACGATGGTGGTGGTTGTAAGGCCTAAGTTTTTCAGCTGGGCGGCGAGTAGGCGCCAATGGTCTGCAAAGGAGGAAAGCGCCGTTCCGCCTGTCAGTCAAAGTCAGGCCTTCCCAGAGAGCCCAATACCCCTTAATTAAGGAATATGGCCTAAATCATAATATGAAGCCCTATATAATTTAAGCCATATTCCTTAATTAAGGGGTATTGGGCTCTCTGGGTTTGCATCCGCCTGATGCTCGAGGTGCTATGCCGAGGCGGAGTTTTGGGTTGGGTCAGTCGGGTCTGTGCCCATGTGTGTGTTTCCAAAAATAGGGGACCCTAGCATAGTACCCTAAATAGTAGGATCCTTATTATAAGGACCCCAAAATGAGGTACCCCTAATTTTCGGAAACTCCCATGTCAGTGATGCCAGGCTCCGACTCTGAGTGCTTTCCGGCACTTGAACACTTGAATCAAAGCCGGGATGCCCAAGCATGGTCGCAGCACTTCAAGAGACGGAGAGCACAGCAGCGCCTTCACCTCTTCTGTCAGCACGTGGATAAGCCTCAGCCGCCAAAAAAGATCGGTACTTGAAGCTTGCAACTTGCAACTCCTGGCGGAGAGTCTAGGGATGGAAGCTCTTTTACATCAGCTTCATGTAGGCCCGGCTCTCCCAGAAGTCATATTTCTGCCTAGGTCCTGGTTCAGCGAGGCCTTCGGGCTTGCAATCCTGGCTTCTTGCATGCCTGGCATAGCACCTTTAGACTGACGGAAATGAGTTTTGACTGGAACCAGCGCAAGCCCGGAAGCCTCCATCCTTCCTAGAACTGCCACCGCCCACCTCTGCAAAGATCAGAGCTCCAAGCGGGAAAGCTGACATGAGCTGACCGAAGCTCGACAAATTCAAGCCCAGCATAACTTGCATCGTCATGCGAAGTTGCAAACCTTTCTTGGGCTTATCGTGCGAAACACTTGCAAAAAACTGTAGACGACACTGACGACCTTAAGGTGTCTCCTCGAAACTTCGATTTGGAAATTCCCTTCAGAGGTTAGGGCGTGTATGGTTAAAGCTTGCAGACATCGTTTCGGAATTTGTGGTGTTGTGGGCGGGGGTCGGGTTCTCCGGTAGAAGGTACACCGGGCATCTTCGGGATATCCCGTGTACTGTACAGGAACCATTTGCTTGCACGCTGCAGCCAGGAGACATGCCGTGCAGACTGCAGCGATACATGAATCAAACATGAACAGACTGAGGCGGCACTTCGATACCAGATCGCATTCAAGGTACGGCTGCCATGGTTTGATCACAAAGAGCATTTTCAAGAGCATCTGCTGGGGATATTACACTATATATATGTATGTATAAAAAGAAACATGAAAGTAAGATATCACAACTCTGCAGTTCGACCCTGGCTCTTACAGGACACCCTACGCTGGGGTAGGGTTCCTTACCTAAGGGACCCAGCCCCATGACAACGCCGCCCCTCCCCCCCCCCTAGCAGTCTGAGTCCCATGTCCAGCCACGCATACCCTTAGCAGCCTTCCTAAAGGGAACTCCAGAAAGCTAGAATGTGGATTAATGGTAGGATCCCCTATATTTTACCTTAAAGGGCTTACGATAATGATATTCCAACTTTCTGGCTTTTACTTTAAGCTCAGTGCCACAGAGCCATCTCGGGAGCCGGTGCCTGGAGGGGCTCCGGTCGGATCGGTGGTTTACTTGGAGGATCATGGGACTTAGTATGTAAGGTTATAAGTACCTTAATTGGGGTTATAAGTATAGTTACCCTAATTATAACCCTAGTTACTAAGTTCCATGATCCTTCAAGTAGGGTCTAGTGAGTTCAGGTTCAGGGTGTGGGCCAGACGGTTCTTAGGGATTTTTGTAAGCGTCGATGCAACGTAAACCTCAAACAATCCTTGAACAAATGCGTGTTTGGCTTCTGTGCTCCAAACCTAGACCCTCCATCTACCCTCTATTAGGCCCTAAGTGCCCCTTATTTGGGACCATATACCCCTATTTGAGGGTACAAGGAGGGTCCTGGTTTTGTTCGGGTATTAAGTCGACTCCTCGGCCTTCGAGTGTTCGTAGAATGCACGGGGGCTTCCAGTCTTTCAAGCGCACGGTTTAGGGTTTAGGGTTTAGGGTTTAGGGTTTTGGGTCCGAAAGCCACTAGTTTCTGGAAGTCCACGGCTATTCCAACGTAGCTGTACCGTACCGACGTAGCCTGAAGTAAAAGGCCTTCTGTGCCTGGGGCGGGAGAAGAGAGCACGCAAGGCTTGAAGCATGATGCAGGTTCGAAGTGCTGCTGTACAAGTAAGGATAGCTCAAGGTGCACGCCGCGGATTCCCATAAAGTAACATTCCATCTCCTGTGCCCTCAGCATGCACCTCAAGCCTGAGGTTCAAGAACGCACTCACAACACCGGAGACAACACGGGTGCATTCCTTGGTCCTGGTGCTATTACCAGCTGCTCGCTGCAAGCTTGCTGAACGTTCGATGCTGATCAAAGTCGGCCTGCTGCGTCAAAGCACAGGCCAACCGGGCGGGAAAGTCGCCAAAGAAGCCTCGAAGGCCGGTTGTCGACTTCGGGCTGTAAGCTTGTAATGTATCCAGCCTTCGTAATTGCGTAGCATTCGCTATGAAGTTTTGTGGTTGGACCTTCGTGATTGTTGTGTCTATCGTTGTTGCGGTTATTCTTGATCTTTGTCATTTCGATGATCCTTGTCGGCATTGTTTTGCGCACGCTTGTGTTCCTTAGCTTTCGTCAAGTAAACGGTGAGCAGCAATAAGGTTCGGATGGGACACTACCAGTCCTGGCGTGGAGAGCATGAACGAACGGGGAGCATAAGGAGGAGGAGAAGGATGATGCTGATGATGTTGGTGACGATGTAGATGATTATATTGACGTTGACGAAGATAATGGTGTTGACGATGACGACGATGATGATGACGATGATGATGCTGCTGCTGCTGCTGATCATGATGATGGTGACGGTGATGATGACTGTGATGGTGTTTGCGATGGTGGTAACGGTGATGATGGTACTGCTGATGATGGTGGTGACGATGATGATCATGATAACCTACTTATACGAAGTCTGAAAACAACAGACACTGAAGCATTTAAGTAAGCAGGTACTGGAGAAACCCGAGCAAGAACCTCGTTGGGGCCTAGGTGTGACTAGTTGCGACGAGGAGTACGAACGACAGCACGGATCCGGTTCAGCTTGGTACTAGGTACCACATGTCTTCTGCCCGAACCAGGCGAGCCACTGCCATGTCGGGCACTGATTTGGCCGAAGAAGCAAAGGACCTGCAATGCGACAATGCGACGGCTCGCATGGGTTGTCAGATTCTTTTGGAGTTGAGCTGGGGCTCGATATGGGAATTTCCGAAAATAGGTTATAGGGACCCCAAAATAAGGTAACCCTAATTTTCGGAAACTCCCATATATATATATATATATATGTATAGTGTGGAGTGGGACTTGGGTCTCGCGTAGGTAGAAGGAAACGAAGCTCAGACGCATACTTCGATGAGAGGGTAGCCTTCGCTGCTCACCATATAGGTCTCTGCCAGAGGATCGATGTGCCCTGTGGGAGTTTCCGAAAATTAGGGGTACCTTATTTTGGGGTCCCCATAATAAGGATCCTACTATTCAGGGTACTATATTAGGGTCCCCCGAAGCCTCGAGGCCTTGAAGACCTTATATCGACTCCACACATCGTAGACTCTATACCGCCGTTCCGCAAGGGACAGATGGGTAGTCGGGTTTAGGGTTTAGGGTTTAGGGTTCCATGCACCAGTGCTTGACCCGCAAACCCGGCACACAAACCGAAATCAGCAGAGTCCCGGACCGTGAGCAGCACGACCCTGGGCAACTCCTTCCTCGGGTTTGGCTGAGACCAGGCATGTTCAGAAAGAGTCCACTGGAAACTGGAAACAGTGTAGCCAAACTCGCGACAGCGTAGACACACAAATCTTCAACACGTGGAACGGCGGCATTGACATGAAAGACGGCATGCAGACCGTCACACAAAGAACTACATGCACTGTCACACTGCACCCACAACCAATCTGTGGTGAGGCTTATGTAGGGAGCTTATAAGAGTAGGGTTTTCGGGCATATTTTACTATGACTATAATCAGGAGCCCCCAAAACCCCATTCAAATTCAGTTCCCTACAGTCATTCTCACAGGTCCAGTACCGAGGCGCAGTTCCCGAAGCAGCCGACCCCTTTTGGAGCGCCGTTCGTCCGTCAGCTCGGCGTTCAGGCCCTGCGTACTCGCAGAAACGTCATAGCCGGACAATGCCTGCCACCCTGCCCGCTCCGCGCATCCCTCCACCCGTAGCAAACAAATCAGAACCATCTTGCCGTCAGCCTCACTTGATTGAAGATGCGCAATCGTAAAACACGACTACATTTGCCTTCAGAACTTGCCCTGAAGTTCGCCGGGACCAGGTTATATAAGGTGTTCACAGCTCAACAGGGTCCGATCACAGGTCCTAGGTTTCGGTGCCCTCAAGTTGCAAACGCTGCCGGCCAAAAGCATAGTTGGAATGCTTAAAGCCCCACTCTGCAACAAACGCACAGAACCTGAACACCAAAGCCTCTGTCTTAAACTCAGAACGCCTTTTGCCCTGAAGGATTCTTAAGGGTTCCCTTAAGGGCTCCTTTAAGGGCTCTATAAGGGATCCTTAAAGGGATCCTTTCTCCAAGATCTGGCCTGGACAGACTGCATGGCCTGGGCAGGCACGATGGGCTCCGGGAGCACCTGGGCATGCTCGTGAAGAGTTTAATGTAGGGGCCTTAATCATGAGAAGAAGGTTCATGAGGGTATGTTATACCATTTTCCTCATAATAATGTGGAGCCCTCAAAATAACATGTTTGGGGGTATGTTATACTATACTTATAATGACGAACCCTCAAAGTAGTATAGGCAATGATTTAGGCCCCTATGTTATACCGTTTAAAGCTGGGTTCGTCTGACCCCAATCTCGTCGTTGTCGCCGTTGTCGTGTCGTGCGGTGGTCGCGGCAGCCGTGGCAGTGGCCGCGAAGTGCTGGCGGCAGCGGTGGTTGTAGCAGTAGTAGTCGTCATCGTTGTGGTGGTAGAGTGGTAGTGCTAGTGCCAGTGGTAGTGGCCGAGGCAGTGATACATATGTATGTATGTATGTATGTATGTATGTATGTATATGTGTTTAGAGTATATAAATATAAACAAACAAACAAACAAATATACATATACATATACTTGTATATATATGTATGCATGTACGTATGCATCCCGTGTTTTAGAGTCTGTGTAGACGTAGCATCGGTGCTGCAGAATGCTGAGATTCTTGCTCGCTGGATTTCGAGACCCTGACCCCGAGCCAGCGGAGAAGAAAGGGTGCCGCGCTGCGACATGGCCTTGGCTTGGGTTGTCGTCTCAACTACGGCGTGCAAGAGTGCATAAACCTCCGACGGGTTCAAGCTTGCGACCTGGGACTTGCGAAAGTGGGCTGATGGTGCTTCGAAACGAAGCATCCGGCGCAAGGTCTACGACATCACGAGCATGGTTCTTTAAGGCTAAAACGAAGATGTTTGAGCAAACCCTGCAGATGTCGAAGCAGGTCGCTATAGTAGTGAAAGTAGTAGTCGTAGTCGTAGTCGTAGTCGTAGTCGTAGTCGTAGTCGTAGTCGTAGTAGTAGTAGTAGTAGTAGTAGTAGTAGAAGTAGAAGTAGAAGTAGAAGTACAAGTACAAGTACAAGTACAAGTACAAGTACAACTACAACTACAAGTACAAGTACAAGTACAAGTACTGTAGTGGTAGTAACAGAAGAAGTAGTAGTAGTAGTAGTAGTAGTAGTAGTAGTGGTGGTAGTAGTTGTAGTAGTGGCAGTAGCAAGAATGCGAGGTAGTAGTGGTAGTAGTAGTGCGAGGCAGTAGTGGTAGTAGTAGTAGTAGTTGTTGTTGTTGTTGCTGCTGCTGAGTATTGAAAAACAATGAGTAACTAGTACAAGTACTGTAGGGCTCGTCGAGGAGGTATCGCGATGGCATGCAATGGCATTAAACTAGCAATGTACTACGGTGGACGCAGCAACACTAAGACAAGTTTGTGCACATCCTAACAGCACAGACCCTTGCCACAAAGCTTAAGCGCTTTCGACTCTCGCCCGGCCGCGCTAGGGCTCCCCACAACTGGAAGTTGTCGCGTGGGAAGCACCAGCCATGTTCCACCTTACATGTTTTTTACCAAGCTGAAAGCAGCTTACGCTTTGAAAGCATGCAGGGTTCGAAGGACAGGATTCCGAAAGCTGCGATCGCGTGTCAAAGTGCATTTCCTGAGTACATCTAGCGGGGGATTTCCATTGCCGAGCAGCGAGCCTACAGGCTGAGGCTGTTGAGAGCTCAATTTATAAAAGTCGGTCCTACCAGCAGCTTCCGGCTCGAGTTCAAACATGTTCAGCCGCTCACTCTACGCTTTTTCGCTTGTCCTTCCTAGCAGGCTCCCTTCGCATGTGCCTGGACCTCTGCCAGCGCACGTACGATTTCAGAGTAGCCACATGCCAGACGAGCTCTGCTCGTGGCCGTTTCGCCATCCGCTCCCCGCTTCTTGTTGACGTCGGCCCTCTGCTCCAGCAGCAAGGAGACTAAGGCATACTTTCGCAGTTCGCATGCGCGGAGAAGCGGCGCTGTGTCATCGTGTCCGGGCTTCTCCAAATCAGCTCGGGAATCGATCAGAAACTGCACAGTCCGAGGGTGGCCACTCTCCACTGCTTCTAAGAGAGGTGTGGTGCCTGCAGCCACGGCATCCAGGTCTGCACGGCCCAGGACCAGCTGTCTTACCATCGTCAAGTCACCCCGCGCCGAGGCGCGGAAGAGTGGTGCCCGACCATCGTGTGCCTTTTGCGGATCTGCTTTGGCTTCTACCAGAAACTGCACCATATCAGGAATGCCATGCTCCACTGCACGAAGGAGAGGCGTTCGACCATCCGTCGTGCTTTCTTTGTTCAGGTCGGCGCGAGCCTCAAGCAACATGCGTGCAATATCGACCTGTCGATGAGTGACACAGGTTTGCAGAGGCGTCCAACCCGTCTTGCCGTGGCATCGGTCTGCCTCGGCTCTCGCATCCAGCAGCCGTCGAACCAGATTCGCACGGCCCCGTTCACATGCTCGCAGCAGCGGCGTTGTCCCGTTTTTCGCACTCTCCTTCTCTAAATCTGACCTGGCTTCGATCAGAAGCCGTATAATCTCAGAGTTCTCGCAGTCCAGGGCCCGAATGAGAGGCGTCTTCCCATCATCTGTCCGCGCAATGTCGAGGTTGGCGCGGGCTCCAATCAGCAGCTCCACAACCTTCACCTTACACCGCACTTAGAAGCAGGAAAAACTCGTGTTCGTATATAGCAGCAATAAAGTGTCGAAGGGATGAGAGAAACCGTATGCGCCCACGATTAGAACCGAAGCTTCAGCTTTTCTCCCCCTGACTGGCACAACACGGTGTGCCATGCCGGAGGCCGAAACCGGCAATCAAAAGCATGCAAGCGAAACCTATCATAGCTAAAACAACTGAATCACTTCCTGGTTGACACGCATGCCACTCAACCGTTCAAGTTACATGCCCTATTCTGAGCCCTGTAGCTGAATCTAACAAGCAGACCACCCAACTTCACCCCACACCCCCACAGCTGCAAAGACGCATGCCCCCGTTCGGTGGCACGGAGCAGTGGAGTGGAGCCGTCCCGAGCCCGGGTCGCATCTAACGCCGCCCTGCTGGCCACCAACAACTGCACGCTATCACGGTAGCCGCACTCGGATACCTTGGAGGCATCTTTGAAATAATGCCCGAAGCTCCGGCAGCCCTGTAGCTTGGGATTCAGGATGTGGGGCTTCAGGGAATGGCCGCCGAGGAGCTAGCAGCAAAGGGGTAGAGCCATCCTTCGTCCGCGCCTGCCACAATCATGAGAGACCCGAAGCCGCAGGCGGTGAAGGATTTACAGTCTCGCAGCACTTGAAGTTTCGGATTGCCTCCTGCATCCTACTAGTTTCGCCGGCACCTTGTCCACCTGGGCGCGGCTGTCCAGCAGAAAGCGGGCCATGTCCAGATGTCGCTCGTAGAATGCCTTGCCTCAGAAAAGTGGAGAGTGGACGCTCTATGGCAACATTGGAGTACCCTTGCAAAGACCCTGGTGGTAGCCCTTGTAGTCACCCGTATGGCACCCCAGAGAGTTTTGAATCCATCGCCAAAATCTCGACGACTACAACCCTAAGCCATTGGTCCTACACCTTGTCGGCTGTCGCAGCTCAGATGCCCAAAGGGGTCAGCCCAGTACTCCTGCACGTCTCGTCCACATCCACCCCGGCCTCCACCAACAGGCGCACGGTCTCCCAATAGCGGCCGTCCATGGCACGGTGCCTTGCATTTAGGCGACAAGCCAATGCCGGAACATGATACAAGCAACGTAAGGGGCTACCAGACAATTACTGCAAGGGCTACTATCAGCGTTACTACTGTATACGGTTTTCAGGGTAGCCATGCGGGTTGGCTCTTTTCATGCAGTATCATTAGGTGTTCATGCAGCATGTTTCAATTCGACCGTGACATGACAGAGCCTATGTTTTTCTCGGGTTCGTTCCTGGACATAGATGATACCCTCTCTCAGACAAACACGTACACGATGTCTCGGGACTTTTTACATGCCAAAGCTTCTTTGCGATCCGATGATCCTCCTGCCTGCTAGGAATTTACTACTCCAGACTCCAGCTGTCGCATGCTACTGAATATCCGTGGTGCGCTGGAACTGGAGATCAGGCTACGGAAGTTAGATGCTACGGCTCGATGAGACAAAAGTACAACAAGTATACAGACCCGAAGAAACAGGATCACACTGCAGCAAAACAACAACACGAACTCCAGAATGTAAACCTTCCATCAGCAAAAGTCCTGGCATGTCAACCTACGCTCTAAAACCCCTGAAACCCTTAGAATTCAACCATCTAGTCTGGAATGATTAGCAACTCGCAGCAACCGAAACCGCGTTAAAGAGACTGTAGACAAAGACCCAGTTACAAGGGCGATGTGCCGTCCTTGGCATGGGTGTTGGGATCCACTGGCCTCGCCACGTGATTGCTTTGATCTCCATGGCCATGCCCCGAACGTCTTCACCACCGCAAAGGCATGACAGGACTCTTTCTCGCCACCATCCGCACCACCACCACCATCACCACCACCACATGCACCACCACCATGTCCGCATTGCCTCCCATCATGACTCATTATCGTCATCATGGAGTTGCCTGGAGTCCCTTCCGGCAACCACTGCTTCTGAGGGGCGGCCCGGCACAGACTACAAGCATGCGCACATCCGCAACATACGTGTGCCAAGTGCGGGATCGCAGTGCCATGCGACAACCGTCTCGTCGGCATCATTACCACCACCGTGACTGGAAAACAGGACTCATAATGACTGGACGGGCAATGATGTTGCTCGGTATGCAAAGCCGGTCGGGCTCTGGCAAATTAATTACAACAATAGCAAAGTGTGTTGCCGGCAGAGGAGTGTAACGGATGCAATCTTGCAGACTTCAAAGATTCAATCTACACCCAGTGTCACGGTCGCAAAAGGCCTCAAGAACCTTGAGACCGAAAGCTTCAAAATTGGTGTTGTATTACCAGGCATTCGAGTGGCCTCTGAAGGAGCAGTTCCAGCTCGTCCTGGTCCTGTTGCGCCAGGGCCAGTGCCACATCGTTGCATTCGTTGTCCTGAAATGGCTTAGGGTTTCAGGCATGATTTAATGTCCATTTCTGTCTCCTTTCGCACTCCTGAAGTTGCACGAAGGGCAGGATCACCAGCTGCAGGGACATGGGAAGTGCCAGCTGTTCGGTATCCTCACTGGCAGAGCAATCGTGCGGGCTTCGGATGCGTAGATGTTGGCTTGCTATAGTTTCACTGGTTCTACTTTCAGTCCTACAGCATGACGACAACGAAAATAGGTATCTTCAAAAAGCGTTCGGTCGAAGAATTGCTTGCTGCACAGAACACTGCAATTCTCAAAGCCAGCCAAGCATCTTCCACCACCCGGGCCTCCTGCAGCAAACGCTGCCTGAATCGTGGAATACCCACGAGTCCCTGCAGATGCCTGTTTTGTTTTGAGGACTTCGGCACGCAAAATGGGAGGCTGATCTTACAACAAGAAAAAACACGACGAACATTAAAATATGCTGCTATCCAGACAAAGATATGATCATCGTGACAACTAGTGTATGTATATACACACATACATGTACATCTCTCTCTCTCTCTCCCTCTCTCTTGCTTTCGCCGTCGCTCTCGCCTCCCTGTCTCCCTGTCTCTTTGTCTTCTCACTCACTTACTCACTCCCACTCCCGCTGCCGCTCCCGCTCTCTCTCTTTCTCTCTCTCTACCTCTCTCTCTCTCTCTCTCTCTCTCTCTCTGTCTCTCTCTTTCTCTGTGTATCTCTCGCTCCATTGCACACAGGCAGTCTCTCAGTGCAACTTTGTGCAACAAGGCAGTAGTGTTGCACAATCCACCATGAAGGAAATTCATATTGCGAACAGAGCAAATGTCGGTCAGAAATGCCTGTTTGTAAAGGGGCGGTGTGCGGGTGCGCGTGTACGGCGTGCCTGGTAGTACTTCTTGCGCATCTTTATGTAAGTATAAAAGATTCTGGACGCATGGCATTGATTCGTGAATAGATACGGATGCTTAAACGCCGGTATATCCACAGATAGATGCTGGGTCATGTACATGCTACGTGCTGCGCTGTGACTAACATTGGGTTGCTCTGCCTAATTATTTGCTCACGTTTGGGTTTCATGTTCATCCTGTTGTTAACTTAGTCTGTCAGTTATTCCCTCTCCTCTCGCACTTTCGCCCGCTCTTCCTCTGTCTCTCCACGTGAAATAAGCTTTTTGTACAGAAACGCCCGAGACGCCTCTTCAAACCTCTTGCGGAGTTTCCATGCTCAGCCACCATCGCCTCGAAAGCATTGGCTTCAAGCTCCCAGGTCTGGCCCGAAAGGGAGAGAACTTCCAGCATCTCGATGTGTTCATCGGGCGCCGCGCCGCTGAGCCCTCTACTGCCTAAGACCGCCAAAGCCTATGAATCTCTAAATTCTGGATTTCGAGGAGTTCCAAATTGTGGATGTCCCATATGGACGAACAAACCAGTCGGTGGAGGTCTACACAGAAGTGAGCCGGGCTCGGAACCTTCGAACCGAAACCCTGAAGCACAAATGCTGACACTGGCTGTGAGCCTGTCGGAATGAGACTCATTGAGACGTTGCCCATCCCAGATCACAGGTATTGTACTCTGCGGAAGGCAGATCATGCACAACAAACACGAATCGCACTGGATCCCGGAACCTGGAGCCATCAGCAGATAATTACATGCTCAACCCCTCGACACAACATTACGTGTGCTCTTTGTAGTTTCCCTGCCGCTGTTCTCACCACTCCCATGCGCACAAATGCTTCTCCGACGAGCACTGCGATGACAGAGAAGCTGCCGACTGCAACTTTAGATACAAGACGCGTGCCGCTAACCTGAAGATTAAGAGCCTTTATCACGTCTAGAGGAATTTAATTGGGGAAGAGCCCCAAAGCCAGGAAGGCGGCATAGCGCTGCAGCTCACGAAGCTCGCTTTCCATCCTGCTGCCATTGGAAGCTCAAGCGACTTTACTGAATCCAACACCACCAGGCCACACAACAAGACTCAAGAACACCACCCCAACACTCCAACATGGATGCCATCAACTTCGAAATATACGCTTCGCACATCTAACTCTGGCTCAGGACGTTCAGCGAAGGGTTTGCGTTTGAGCCCACGACCTCAGAGTTCTATAAGATCTGCAGAAGTCGAATTTCGATGAGTAGGAACGGTCTGCCACCAGAATGCTGCCGAGTTCGACTCCCACCCCTTACGCCGCGAAGCAGCTGAGCGCACAAGACCCTTCGCCAAAAGCGAAATCCGAAACTCCCAAAGCACTCATTCCAACTAGCGGAGGCCTGAACTGGCTCTGCCCTACATCCCCGAGCCTAGGAAGCCTGACCCGAAGAGCCTCAAGCCTGATACACTCAGGAACCAGATCCTTAGCTGTTTTGTTTACTCCTGCTTGCTCCAAAGATATGCCGTAAGAAAAAACACCGATGTCCTCGTGTGGTTGTCCGACAACGGGTCCGTCCTCTGCAAACGTCGGCAGAGGAGGCACTTGCAAGAAGTCTCGGGCAGGATTCAACCAACAAGAACAAAACGAGCCTGCGACATGCTGGACAGTAGGCACAGCTGTAATACAACTCCCACATAAGCCAGAGGTCAAACTCTCAGAGGGAACGCTACACTCAAAGCCATGATGATGCCATCCCAACACACCTTAAACAAGTAGTAACAACAACTTCGCCATTGAGCCCCCTGCGCAACCCAAGAGAGACCCTCTAGCGCGAAAGTCTCAAACTTTCCGGGCATATCATGGGGATTTTTCTTGTCTAGGGTTATGATTACAATCGGGTTTTGGGGGCCCATTGTGAGCCAAGGATGCCAGGCACCCGGCCACCACTCCAAGGTCCCCGGTTTCATATCCCGGCTCTGGATCAAGACCTAGGTGTGCGCTGTTGTCAAGGTCTCAGGCAAAACGCGCGGCTTTGGAGGTGGTGAAGGGGTTGTCGAAGCCAGCGCCCCAGCAATAAATGCAAAGATGCGGTAAGCCACAATCACGCTCCAGGCTCCGGGCCCACTGCATCACAGACCTGGTATGGGCGTGGCATCTGGGAGCTACCATCTCAGATTCATCCGGCAATTACAGGCGCTTAGGTCAGCAGTCCAGCTGCTAATAACAACAGCCTCTTTGGAACAGGTTTCTGCAAGCGCAAAAAGTCCACAGCACCGGCAACTGCCTGCAAACTTCTCAATCACCGACCCTTGGCTTTCACTTAGCCTCCGTGCACCCTGAACCCTAAACACCTGAACATAAAGGTCTCATCGCCCTGAAATGAAATGTCCCGTGAAAGCGATGCGCCGTATACCCTCAGCTCTGACGGATCCTGTAATTAACCTAAACCTCGAGTCCCTAAACCTACACCCTTATCAACCCTAAAACCACAAACTTGAGGCCCACTATCTGTGAATAATTATTACTAAACCCTATAAACCCCGAAGTTCTAAACCCTGAACCCGTTTCGGCCCTAAATCCCAAACCGTAAACCCACTGTCCGAAGCGTGCCGCCGCGCACATCACCTCTTTGGGCGGCAGCAGTGGGTCTGACGAGGCCTGGAGCAGTGTTAAAGGAGGAGTGCTCTGCCAGGACCCTCCTTGTACCCTTAAATAGGGGTATATGGTCCCAAATAGTGGGTACTTAGGGTCTAATAGAGGGTAGATGGAGGGTCTAGGTGGAGAATAGAACTGAAATAGGGCTCCTTTACCTGTAAAGGGAAGTAGGAGCACTAGATGGGTGTACTGGATGTAATACAGTGTAGCATAACGGCTTTTGGGACTAATAGTGAATAGGATTCATAACGGTTCTTTTTGGGCTTCCAGAATAAGGGTTGCTGTCAGGGTTACGAGAAGGGTTTAGCATAGGCACCTTCGTAGTTAGAGTGGTGTCATGGGTCAGAATATAATACGATGTCGATGTACGGCGGTGAATGGGGGGACATAGCACATGACTCAGAACTCTGTGCGAAGCAAAGCAGATTGAGGGGACTCTGAGCCGATTGAAAATTGAGCATTGCTACCATAATCCTACTAGCAACACACCGTGGGATTGGATGGGGCATTTAAAAAGAATCTACAGCCCTACAGCTGACGACTCGGGAAGCGAAGAGCCTTCAACTTCGCACAACATCGTCCTGCCTACCGTCTTCGTTGTGCGTCTCACCGCTGTCAGATTGCTGTGTTGCTGTGCTAATGCAGATGTTCGCGATGAGGGGAGAAGGTTGACACATTTCGAGAAGATAAGCACAACAGTCAGGTAAAACCAGACCATCACAAGTGCAAAAAGTTCCAATCGTGGATTGTCGCTCGACAGTACACCCTGCGTCATATTTTCAACACACGCAGTCGCACACAGGCACACATTCACAAACTTTGAGGTGTCCGGCCGGTTGCCGGGCTATCGAGGACGGCGAGGCCTGGCGTAGCCAGTTTGAGGGCATCACAGCACCAAGGTCTCTGGACGACTCTTGAATTCAGCAGAGGCTGTCGCCCTGAAAACTCGGGCTCGGAGCTCAATGGATGCTTAATGGCTTAATCAAAGAACAAGAACGGAGCAATTAGGGCTTTAGGTTGCGCAGTTGACCAGGCTCGGGCGGCAAGGGCTGTTGGGGCCCCAGCCGCCCATTATTGTGATACCTGTAGTACCCATAGGTATAGCAGCTATTGAAGAATCTGAGACGAGAGTGAGGGTACTCGAGGGGTGTTGTTAGACCATCAAACCTTACAGGAGTTCGAGACCTTTGAGGCCGAGTGCCTGAGGCCTAAAACCCTGCAGGCTAAACCCTGGACTGGAAGCATTTGCATAGTGGGGAGCACATAAGCATTGTTGGTGCCCTTGCAGCCATTGCACCGTTGATATCTGTCTAGGCCCTAGGCACTGCTCGGGTACCATGAGCTTTCGGCTTGATTTGCTGTATTGAATAACAAGTAAAAATCCGCTATGATCTGAAAGATCCTGTTAAGACAACCTTCAAAGATTGCGCGACAGGACGGTGGTCCGAGTCACGTGTAACCACCTTTGTGGGGCAGGCTTCGCTTGGGGTCTCGACTTCCGATCAGGCTGAAGTTTGGGTCTGTGAGGAGCTTTACTGGGAAGAGTGTGATCCCAGCTCAGAAGGACAGGCTTTTGCAGCGGCGAGTCTTGCAAGATGCGAGCCTTTTTCCATGCGAATGTTGCATTTTTTGCCACCGGCTGCCGTTCAGCAAGATGTACGCTCATCAAGCTGGCGCATTCACATCCGACGTGCTACACGGGATTGTCAGGGCACCGGTCGCAATGCGGCTAAGCCTAGTGGCTGCTGGAGACCCTCTCCAGAGTGCTGTTTAACTACTGACGCATGATGCATGGCCTCATACGTTACAGATTATTGTGAGATGCACCCAAGGCTTAGGCACCCCAATCCACTCAGATTAGGCTCCATTCCTACCATGAGTCATGTTGGCCCTTCAAGGGTAGCACCACCAGCTCTTAAGGTCGTGCTCCGGAGCCTTCGAAGCCTCAGGACTGGTCTTACCGAGGCTTCCGCTGCTATGTGGGCTGCCATGCTGACTACGCTTCAGAAAACAACGACGACGTCTTTTAACTACATGCCTCAGGTAGCGGCGCTTCGAAATCTACTTCGAGTCATGTCCTTGCGAAAGGGGGCGAAGTTTGAGCAAACAGCAGGCCAGAAGATACACACAACGTATCATAACCTGGCATTTTTGAAGTCCCTCAAGGAAAACCATCGGACCGTGAAGACCCAAGTGCCCTCCTGCGTTCTTGGGTTCTACATCATCTGGCTCTGGTGGCTAGTGCTATTGCGGCGACGATTTTCACTATACGCCGTGACTGTACGGACTCTTCTTGCTGCAATAGGTAACAACTGGAATGAAGTCTAAGCCAACCGAGAGATGCCGAGAGGCCTAAACCCGTGCTGTGTAACAAAAGTCTTCAGGAATCTCTGGCTCAGTAATGGCCACCTTCTCGAGCAACTCCACCTGTAAATTACAGGGGGCAGCTTGATGGAGGCGGTGCCCCCCTCGAAACGGTGGCGAATATTTGCGATTTTCCAATGCAACGGTCATAAAAGAAGACGAAAATGACGAACATGATGGAGATGACGAAGATGACGGAGATGACGAAGATGATGGAGATGACGAAGATGATGAAGATGATGGAGATGATGAAGATGATGAAGATGCTGGAGATGGTGAAGATGATGGAGATGATGGACGCGGCGCCCTCCACGAATGGCGAATATTTGCGATTTTCCACAAAAAGGA